GTTTGGTGCCTTCATAGTACTTTGTGGTGCAACTCATCTTATTAACTTGTGGACTTTTACGCCGCACACAAGAACCGTGGCGTCAGTAATGACCATTGCAAAGGTTTTGACAGCTCTGGTGTCTTGCGTAACTGCCTTGATGCTTGTACATATTATTCCTGATCTATTGAGTGTAAAAACACGAGAATTGTTTTTAAAGAATAAGGCTGCTGAGCTTGATAGAGAAATGGGTTTGATTCGTACACAAGAAGAAACAGGTCGACATGTACGGATGCTTACTCATGAAATCCGAAGTACTTTGGATAGACATACAATACTAAGAACTACACTTATTGAATTGGGTCGAACTTTGTCATTGGAAGAATGTGCCTTGTGGATGCCAACACGCACCGGGTTAGAGCTGCAACTTTCCTACACCCTTCGTCAACAGAATCCAGTTGGTTATACTGTTCCGATCCATCATCCTGTGATCAATCAAGTTTTTAGTACCAATCATGCCGTAAAAATCTCCCCTAATTGTCCAGTGGCAAGACTACGGCCTGCAGGGAAGTACCTGCCTGGAGAGGTCGTTGCTGTTCGTGTCCCACTCCTGCATCTCTCGAATTTTCATATTAATGATTGGCCTGAACTTTCAACGAAAAGATATGCTTTGATGGTTTTGATGCTCCCTTCAGATAGTGCAAGGCAATGGCATGTTCACGAGTTGGAGCTCGTTGAAGCAGTTACTGATCAGGTATAAATTGTCGTGTTTTGCTTCTTAACCGTGTGTTAATTATTTCCTACCACCCTTTCCAATCTTTTATGTTTCTAAATACTTAATTTTCCGGTAAACATTTCTAGTATTTTATGTTTCTTAGTACTTACATTGTTTGTGCATGTCCAATAATAGTATTACGACCCCATTTCTATATATAAATACATATTTCAATGACCTATAGTAATTGATTTGAAGTATTGATAAATACCTACTTGATTAGTTTCTATATATAAATACATATTTCGACGGCCTATTACCTATAGTAATTGATTTGACGTTTTGTAGTTGACAAAACTTTTTTTTTGTTAGGCGAATATCAATAATTTGCTATTAATTCTTCAATATTTTGACACCGTCGATCAAGTTATTTTTGGAAGTTGGAGAGCTTTAACTCTTTTTTTTATGAAGTAATCATGTCCGATCAATAGTCAAACATGTGTTTATTGAATGACCCTCCAAAGACGTGGAAAAACTTGGATTTTTTTTTTCAAATTTCGTGTTAATCAGATACTCGTATTTAATACTCACAACCAAGTTTGAGTAACATATGCTGCAATAATAAATACTTACATTATTGTGATATCAGATTTTAGATTTAGTTTTATAATTCAAAATCGGGACTCTTGCTGCATATTTTCTCCGTTTGCGAGCTCCCTCCATTCTCTCCTATCTCTTGTTGCTGCCCTCTGTTGTTCTCTCATATCTACTTGCTGTAGATAACTTCATCCCTCCTGGATTTCTGCTTTTGTGGCGGATATCAATGCTGCTTAAAGCAAATTATTGGCAAATCTTTGTAATGAACTCAGGTGGCAGTTGCTCTTTCACACGCTGCAATCTTAGAAGAGTCGATGAGGGCAAGGAATCTTCTTATGGAGCAGAATGTAGCTCTTGATCTGGCCAGAAGAGAAGCTGAGACAGCAATCCGTGCTCGAAACGACTTCTTGGCTGTTATGAATCATGAGATGAGAACCCCAATGCATGCAATTATCACTTTATCTTCGTTGCTGCAGGAAACCGAGCTGACACCCGAACAGCGTCTGATGGTTGAAACTATTCTCAAGAGTAGTAACCTTCTTGCAACTCTAATAAATGATGTGCTGGATCTTTCGAGGCTTGAAGATGGTAGTCTTCAACTAGACCTTGGAACTTTTAATATTTACACTGTATTCAGAGAGGTAGAATTTCATTTCTTTTGTTGCTTTTGGAAAAGTACCGATGGGTGTTTTTCATTCTAACAATGTGCATTCATTTCATCATAGGTCCTAAAGTTGATCAAGCCGATTGCATCTGTTAAAAAGCTTCATGTTTCATTAAGTTTGGCTCCGGACTTGCCGGAATATGCCGTTGGTGATGAGAAGCGCTTGATGCAAACAATTTTGAACGTTGTTGGTAATGCTGTGAAATTTTCAAAGGAGGGCAGCATAACAATCACTGCTTTTGTTGCAAAGCCAGAAACACTGAGAGATTCTCGAGCCCCAGAATTTCTCCCGGTGCCAAGTGATAATCACTTTTATTTGCGAGTACAGGTTGGACTGTCATTGTCTGTTGTAATAATCTGCCTTAGGCTGCTATCACTGTAAGTTAGAGGTTGATGATGTGTTTCCGTCTTTGTTTCTGGTGTAGGTTAAAGATTCAGGTTGTGGGGTTAGCCCCCAAGACATTCCCAACTTGTTTACCAAATTTGCACAAAATCAATCAACAGCAACACGAAATTCAGGTGGTAGCGGACTAGGCCTTGCTATTAGTAAGAGGTACGTTTTTTTCCCCTTTTAACTAAACGAATATACCGGTTTTAACATGTAGGTGTTTTGAACTTTTAGCCATCTCTGATTCTCTACATTTTTGTAATGATATAATCAGGTTTGTAAATCTGATGGAGGGACATATTTGGATCGAGAGCGAAGGTCTTGGTAAGGGATGTACTGCTATCTTCATTGTAAAACTTGGGATCCCGGAACGTGTGAACGAATATAAACTTCCATACATGCCTAAGATGCCAACAAATCACGGGCATACAGCTTTTCCGGGGCTTAAAGTTCTGGTTATGGATGAGAACGGGTCAGTTCTATCACGTTCATTTTGATCCTCATTTGATTAATTTATTTATTTCCTAAACCATATTTTGAGTAACGAGTTCTATGAACACTTGCATCATGTAGTTAGGCTGTTGGCAAGTAACTCTTTTTTCGGGTTTTCCTTTTAATGTGATATTGTCTTTGCGTGAGAACAAGCTGGAAAACGTATGAAATTATCCGGCCAGTATATCATGAATGTCTAGTTTGTGATTAAAATCGGTGAAGATTTTTTATTTTTCCTGTAATATTGTTCGATCTGGTTTTATGAACACTTGCATAACGTAGTTCGGCGATTGGCAAGTAACTCTTTTTCCGGGTTTCCCTTTTAATGTGAAAGAACATTGAAATCTTTTATGGGGTAATGCAGGGTTAGCAGGACGGTAACCAAGGAGCTTCTTATGCATTTAGGGTGTGATGTGACAACGGTTGGCTCGAGTGATGAGTGCTTGCAGTTGGTTTCTCATGAGCACAAGGTTGTTTTCATGGACATTAATGTTCCCGGTACAGATAGTCACAGAATCACCAGCAGAATACACGAGAAATTCGCAAAACGCAATGAAAGGCCGTTAATAGTGACGCTCATCGGAAATACGGACAAGTTGACAAAGGAGAACTGCATGAGGATCGGCATGGATGGTCTTATAGTGAAACCCGTTTCACTTGATAAAATGAAAAGTGTTCTATCAGATCTTCTGGAGCACCGAGTTCTTTTCGAGGGGATATAAAACCTTGAAGAGTATCCGGAAACTGAGTATGCGATCGCTGGAAAAACGAGGAAGCTTATGGTGTAATCCATGTACATACCACAAAATTCAGAGCGCTACGGTTTCGCAGAGATTCAGACACATTATTGAATGAATGTAACAGAACATATTTATACGAAAAGTTCTGCAAATAGGTTGCTGTTTCGTACCCGTCTGATCCAGAAACAGGTATTAAGAAGGTCAAGTTCATTTCCTATTAAAATTTCGAGATATTTTGACGTGTTCATGGAATTAAAAGAATCTATCATTTTTATAGTAAATAATTATTTTTTAGTATTGTAAAATAAAAAAATCTTGCCAAATAATAATTTTTAAATTCTGTAAGATGAATATGGGAAAGCTTGAATAGTTGAAAGTAGGGTCATTTAACTATGGGTGATTTTGATTTGATCATTGATTATTTTTAATTTTATATAATTATATATTTAATCTTTACTTTTAAATATTTATCAATTTAATTCTAATTTATTATAATAATTTTTAATAGATTTAATATGATGAATTTAATTATTTAATCTGATGATGTGACTCGTATAATTGATAATCATGATAAATATATCAATAATTAATTATTCCATCAGTTTTTTATTAAATATTAACGATAAATAATTCGATTGATATTATTTAAATAATCAAATAACATAATTAATAAAATAAAAATTTATAATTAAATGGTTATATATGTAATTTAGTTTTGAAAGTATAACCTCCTTTATGAATAGTAATATTTTATTTTTTCAACAAAATTAGCGATCAGCTATTATTATTAGTATACCTATCTAATATTCCAATAAGATAAATGCATAAACTTTTTGGATATTTTAAAGTAATTTAATTATTCTTCCTTTATTGTTCTAAGAAAAGATAGAACAAATTTTCCGACTAGTTTTTAATTAAATTATTATGAAAATCAAATTATTTTTTTAGTTATCCTCTCGATTTTTTAAGGTTTTATCTTGATTAATCTGAATCGACTCATTTTGTACATTTAATTTTGATGAGTGGGTCTTTCACCAAAGACATTTTACATGTATAAAATCTCAAATTCAATATCTATTTAAACGATACTAAATTATTTATTACTTGAATCAACTAATTGGTGGCAGACCGATTAAAAAATAACTAAAATGTCAAACCCACCATAATTGACTTCTCAATATATAACACCCAACACTAAAATACAAGAACGAATAATAAAATATATAATTTGTTTATTTCACATAAACAAAATAATTGAATTTATCATTTATCAACAACTTTGATATTTAAGTAATTAGGTTAGTATTGTTAATTGATTTATTGATGTCATAACTCATAAGAATATCCAGATATTAACCCCTGATTACTGTCACTATTTTTTTAAATTAAAATAAAGAAAGAAAAAAAGCCCAAAAAGGCTGTTATTCTCCCCCATGATTCTCTCTTTTTTTTATGCTCATTCCAGTTCCTTCAAAACCCTGAATTCCTTTTATTTAATTTGAGATATTTATCCATTTAATTTAAACACATCGAAAAAGAGCAAAAAAGGAAACCATTCTGCACTTTGATTTCACTTCCATTTCTAGAGTTTTGTTTGTTCCAAATAATCATAAGAAAACAAAGTTTTTGTTCTCAACTTTCTTCCTCTCTAGTAAGAAAGATGAAACGAAAAGAATAAATTCACAAGGGCAAAATTCCCATTTCTTCTGATTATTTGTATTCTTTTTGCTAAGAAAAAGAGAATTTCTTGGTGGGTTTTGGGTTTTTCTCCAATGGCTGCCGTTGTTGACAATTCAGGTGAAGCAGTGGATGCTGTTAAAAACAACGATTTGGTCGTGGAAACAGCCAAATCGGAATCAAAGGAATTCAATGTGCAAAACCTTGTTGATATGTTCACAAAGTTGAATCCTTTGGCCAAAGAATTTTTCCCATCATCTTATTATCATGATCAGACCCAAAAAACAGATGATTTGGATCAGATTCCAGTTAACAATCAATCAGCTGGGGATGAGAATTTCTCCAACAAAAGGGTAATTTCTTTCCACTGATCACTTACATTTTCTAATGGCATTATTGCTTACTTCTTTTTTGTTTTGGATGATGAGTGTTTTCAAATTATTAGTTTTTTTGTTTTGTTTTTCATTTTTGTTTGTTTATCTCTTGTGGGAAACTGTTTTTTATTTGAGGGTTTGGGATTATTGATAGATATGACTTTGATTGCTTAGCTAAATTGGGGTTTTACTATTTGTTTTGTAATCCTAATGGTTAAATTGGCAGTTTGATTCCTGTTTATATGCTTATTCAAATCTGCATTTTGAATTGGTTTCTGATATTTCTTCCCCTTTTGATTGATAAACTTTATGATTTACTGGAATATATGATTATAAGTGCTTTTATTGTCTAATCATTAATTTGATTGACTTGTTGGAACTTGGATGCATTTGGACTTGGTTGCTCCCTCTACTTGTCATCATATGTGGTATTATGCTGAATATCCGGATTTCGACACGGGACAGTCTTATATTTGTTTATAGTTTTACATTGGTTACATTTGGTAAATGATTATAGTTGTGTTTTTCAGGGTAAAAGTAACTTCAACCAGGGTAGAAGAAGGCTTAATGGTAGAGCTTTTCAAGCTCAAAGAGATGATGGCATCAGGCGAACAGTATATGTTTCTGATATTGATCTGACTGTAAGTTTAAACAACAATACGGTATAGTGATTTTCGTTTTGTTGTTTCATTCTGATTTGGATAGCTCTTGTGAAATTCATTTCCTTCTTTGTGTTAGATTACTGAAGAGCAACTTGCTGGCTTATTTAGTAATTGTGGACAAGTAAGTTATAATGATGCCTTTAAAGTTTTTCTTTTAATTTCACTTAAAAAAAATGGTTGTCCCTTGTTCTCATATGTAATGGGGTAAGGGGAGGTAAGAAAGTAGGCTGCCCCCAACACTAGGTTGAGAGCAGCTTCCGTAGGAAACCTCCGAATTATGAAACGCCCTCCATGGGACTCGATCCCACGACCTCAAGGTTAAGAACCTTGTGCTCTACCAACTGAGCTGGATCGTAGCAAAACTTCATTCGTTAAAGCTTTATCATGTCTGTCTATAGAGCTCTCTCTCTTTCTATTGCTGCGGTATGCACAAGACTTGAGTTTTCCATTTTTTTTCCTCTTTTTCAATCATGGTTTTATTCATATTTTGGTTGGTATCTCTTCTTTGCTTGAGTTTAAAAGTGCGATGTTATTACTGTAAATATGATAGCTTATGTGACAACTTACTATATATAAGACATTTCTCAAGTGGTTTGGGAATTTATTATTGAAGGTTGTTGATTGCCGAGTTTGTGGTGATCCGCATTCAGTTCTTCGCTTTGCATTTGTGGAATTTGCGAATGAAGGCAAGCAGCTTCTATGGACTGAACTTAAAACTTTTCTTTTATAAAATTGATGTGCATTTATCCACATTTTTTATGAACTTTGTTTTCACAGATGGTGCAAGAGCTGCTTTGAACATTGATGGGACAATGCTCGGGTTTTATCCCATTAGGGTCTTGCCATCAAAAACTGCTATCCTTCCTGTGAACCCTACATTTCTCCCTAGGGTATGAATGAATAACTTTCTGGCTGTTAGTTGTTTTGGTTTTGCATAAGGTGTCATTTTATCCAATACCGTTTCACCATTACTAAATAGCTTTTGGGTTTTTTCTCTATATTTTTGCTCTGAGTCTCATTGTTGACACGGAAAATAACTCCAATTGCAGTCAGAAGATGAAAGGGAAATGTGTACCAGGACAGTTTATTGTACAAATATTGACAAGAAGGTAACTCCCTCATGTTTACTCGCATGAATGTTTGAGTTCCGGACATTTTTCACTGAAGTATTCGGTTATCATCTCTTCCTCTCGTATCTATATTATTAATGTAACTTCATTGATCTAATCTGATCGACATTTTTGTTTCGACTGAAGGTTTCTCAAGCTGAAGTGAAGAATTTCTTCGAATCAACCTGTGGTGAGGTTAGTAAACTACCAAAACTTCACACCTTTTCAGAAAGAATATTAAAGGTAGAGGGACTTATCGTGAAGGCTGACATCATTTTATTTAATTCTCAGGTCACTCGCTTGAGGCTTTTAGGGGATCAAGTCCATTCAACTCGTATAGCTTTTGTCGAATTTGCCATGGTGAGTTCATGTTTATGGGATTCATCTCGAAATAGATTTGGGGTTGAAACTATATTTATGATGATTTAAAAACTATGTTTCTGGCTTTGGTTTGGTATATTTTATGTCGGTAAAATTATTTTTAATATGTCACGGTCGACTCTTTGTAAACCGTTTGTGCAAATGATTAAGTGAAGTCTACATCAAAACATGAGCTCTTCTTAGAACAAGTTTTCTATATATATTGATCTATTACAGCCATTGACATGTATAAGCATGTTTTTTCCATTAACTACTTTTATGTTTCTTTATATTTGGTATTGAATCCTTGTCCCAACCATACGACTGAGTTCGCAGCCTTTATAATTCAGCCTTTCCACGTAATCTCGATCCCAGTTTTTAACTCCGTAATTGCGAGACAGTTGATTGTATGTTTGTTCTATCAATGTTTTCTTTCTTTCTTGAACCTCTTTGACTTGTCCATGGACCAGCTAAATTGAGGAAAGGGTTTCTATCTTCTTTGATTTTCTTATTGATTTTATGCCGTCGTCGATAATTAGACAAAGTATTTTCGTTCTTTTTGCTTACAAAGGATGTATGTGAGTAGATTGACTTCATCCATAGTTCATTAAAATATTGCATATCGTTACCGTAAATGCCTATTCGTTTGATTGTTTGTTTACCATGTAACTTTCTTTTTCCTTATTGCAGCTCGTTTTTAACTACGATAAGTAACTATCCATCTACTTTTGCTTTTAATCAGTTGTACATGCACGAATCATTGCCGGCAGAAAGCACAACGCCGTTCTACTTGCACTGTTACATATATAATATGCAATAAGATTTAGTGACAGCTAATGAAAATACTTGTTTCCGAATTAATAATATGTCCTGCATGATGTTTTGTACCTTGAATCGGACTGATAATTTTCTTCCATTTTATCGACAGGCGGAAAGTGCCATACTTGCACTGAATTGTAGTGGGATGGTGCTAGGAACTCAGCCTATCAGGTGTGTCCCAGAATTATCCCCCCCAAATTGTTTCTTTCGATTCCATGATTGTCGTCGATTAAAAGCTTAACCCTACTGCGTTTGAATTCTGAACTTTCAGGGTAAGTCCTTCAAAGACACCGGTGAGGCCGCAAGTTATGTGTCCGACATTGCATTAACTGATTAAGCGAGCCTGGTGACTTCCAAACGGTGAGAAACTTTGTTGTGTTGAAGGGATGTTGAAACTTTTTATCTGTTGCAATATTTAATTTCATCTTTGAACATGCTTTGGATTGAAGCGACTTTGAGGGAAATATATATTTTTTTCTTTCTTTTTAGATCATTTCCTGCCTTCTTGAGTTTTCTTGCATTATCTGATGACTGATCAACTAAGCATTTTAAGATCCGACCCGAGTAGGTAGCCTTATTTTTAGACCCGACCCGATTTGAGGGATTGTATCCAAATTTTTTCAGTGTACTCTCAAGAATCTACTCAGCTATAAATGCAAAGAGATCGATTCTCTCCTACAAGAGAAGAGATCGTCAATTTTTCTGAAAACTTGCAAAAAATAATATGCAGGCCCGACCCAATACATGTGCCTGATGGGTCTTAGCCCAGGGCAACATGTTTGAGGGGCATCAGTTTTCTAGTGCTTATAGTGTATATATATATATTTGGCTCAAAAAAATTAGCCCAAAACACCTGATCGGTCGATGGAAGGTTTAAGGTAGGCGACGAAGATCCAAAAAAAATTAATTCTCCCTTGGAAGATCCAAAAATTAATTCTTGAAATCCTATCTTCGAAGCACGATGACTCAAGATAAATTGAACGAATTAGCAATTTTAAGCATCGAAATTTAATTTTTATAAAGTCTTGATTATCGTAAAATAATAGAGTTTTTGTTTCAAAAAATACACGAAGGCATCATTAAACTCATTTATGTAGCCTTGTATGTTTTGGTTTGTATTAGTATTGATATTGTTTGACTATAATTTCTATTACATTTTTATTTTAAAAAAATTATTTATGTTTTGTCTATTATACGGTACAAGTATAGGGGCATAAAATTATTATCTCGCCCAAGGCATTAAAACTCATTGGACTGACCCTGATAATATGGACACGCACTTGTTAGTTAGTTAACATGCAATTCATTGGAACCTGTGCACAGGAACAGGTCACGCTTCGTTACGTTTCATTCATTAATAGTTAAGAATACTAAGGGTCTGTTTGTTTCCCGTAATTGGAATTACGGAATTGGTTTTCCCCGAATTCTCGTGTTTGTTTCACGTAATTCGTTTTCCGGAAAACGTTTTCCCGTGTTTGTTTCACGTAATTCGTTTTCCGGAAAACGTTTTCCCGTGTTTGTTTCACGTAATTCGTTTTCCAGAATGTAATTCATTTTCCTAGTAACATAATTTCCTTTGTGTTTTCTGTAAAATGACTTACGGATTCATTTTCCGTAAGTCATTTTCCGAACTTTTCACTTCAAAGCAAAAATACTCAAAATAATTTTATTTTATGAATTTAATATTAATAAAATATTTTAATATCATTTTCATCAAATATTAATTATTAAAATATTTAAAATATATTTATTAATATTTATAATAATATATTTATATTTTTAATATTATATAAAATAATCAATTATATTATAAATATAAGATATTATATTTTATTTTAATAATATATAATAATTTTTTATATATTTAATAATGAATAATATTATTTATATATTTCAATAATATTTTAGTAAAGATTAAAATATACTAATTAATATTTTTAAAATATAATATAGTACTATTACTTTAATAAATAATTAATATAATTTATAAAATTTTATTTCACTAAAATATATCGAAAAAATGTTTAAATAACATCTTCCAAACATCATAAAACGTTTTCCAGATGTTTTCCAGAAATGTAATTCATTTTCCAGAAATGTAATTCATTTTCCAGAATTCAAATTCCAGTAATTCATTTTCCAGTAATTCAAATTCCAGTAATTCAAATTCCAGTAATTCATTTTCTGTAAAACCAATTACAGCTAAACAAACAGACCCTAAATGAACCTACTAACTTATATTGTCATCATTAAACATGTCAAAATTCCAAAATACTAACTCCATCTATATTGATCATGTTATAGTCAATATTCATGCATTTAACATAATGCACCCTAGACAATCTTATCACGCATCATCATCAGATGCCACGTATATTGAAAATAACCAAAAGAAAATAAAGTCTAATGTCAAAGTTGAGGGCTTAAAATTATACTTTAAAAATAGAGGAGAGATTAAGAAAATCAAAGACCCAAACACAAAATGTAAAATTAATTAGTTAAATTTTCAATTATTCAAAATTTTCAAATTCAAACCGGGATCGAATTTAAAGTCTAAACTCATAATTCAAGTTCACTTGAACATTTTAAAATTAAAAAAAAATTATTACTTCAACCCGAATCAAACTTTGTTCACTCCTAGTAAAAGTAAAATTTATAAAAGAAAATTATATGATGTTAAATATTAAAATTTTAAAATATAAAAATTAAATAAACTACATTTTTAAAAGTGGGAGAATTAATTTCTAAATGTGCAAAGACTTTATAGATTTGGAGCATATTTTAACCGTGCATTTGTTATAAAATATTTCAAATTTCAAGGTAAGTTTCTCTTAATCTCTCAAATTAATTTTATTTACTAAAGTTTTCTTTTGTTTCGTTCGGTCTTTTTTCTAAGATTAACTTCGTGTGTTTTTCTATTAGAATTGGAATTTATCTCATTGTTTTTTCGAAAATGATTTTAGTTTGCCTTCTCATTTTTAGTGTTAACTATTTTCTTGATTGAATACTTGAATTATAGGAACAGAAATGTTTCTGAATTGAATGCACTGTGGAAAATTGGACTTAGTAACCTCATTTCTCGTACTAATCCAAAACTTAGGATTTTATATATGAATTTTTTGTTAGTAAATTCACATTTTGGAATTAGGGAGCATGTTTTAACTATTGATTGGGTTTCCTACTTTCAATTTTGAGCTTTTATTTGGTTGCATTTGCAGGATGCTTGGGGGATGATTTCATAAACTGACGGTTGTCTATTTAGATTATAATTCAGTTTTTCCTGTGTGCATTTGACTTCTTGTGTTGTAAAACTTTGAATTAGGGTTTTAGATCATACTGAAGTTTTAGAGGTGTTTGTTATTATGTGTAAGCCAAATAATCTAAACCAAATGTATAATTACTTTGGTTGGTTTTGATTTTGTAGAATTAGAACAAGCAAACTGTAAGTAGGAGAAGAAGAGGGAAATAAAGTACTTTTTGGAGCATAACATAACTTTGAGATATTTTTTATGGGTAATACATTGGGGAGGAGAAAGCAAGTGGTGGATGAGAGGTATATGCGCCCCCAAGGGTTGTATGTTCATAAAGATGTGGATGTTAAGAAGCTAAGAAAGCTGATACTTGAATCAAAGCTTGCTCCATGTTATCCTGGCAATGAAGAATGCTGTTACGATCTTGAAGAATGCCCTATTTGCTTTTTGGTTTGTATTTATTTTGTTTTGATTCATCTTATGTTAAAACTCTCCAGTTGTAATTTCACACTCTTTCATCCTTTCGTTTTATCAATCATTGCATATTTGGAATTCTACGTTGTATACTTGGTTACTGGTTCTTTGTTAAATGTTCTTCATGTCTAGTTATCTTTTAGATTTAGTTTTAGTTGAATGTAATACCTTGTAATTACCTCAATATGATTTTTCGTCATTGCATTTTAGTATTACCCGAGTCTCAACAGATCGAGATGTTGCTTGAAAAGTATTTGCACAGGTAAACTATCTGAATTTTCCAATACTTATTGATATTGCTAGTTGCATGAAAATTTGACGGTTTTTATTTCCGCTAGAGTGTTTTCTGCAGATGAAGAATCCAAATTCAACCCGCCCTACCCAGTATCCTTCCAAGTAATAAAATCGACTGTAGAGCTTTTAAGTTTGATTAGTTTCGATGTAATTGTATTCCAATGTTTGCATTCCTTGACATTTTGAGGTGTCCCTTCTGCAAAACCCCAAACTATGCTGTGGAGTATCGAGGTGTGAAAGCTGAGGAGGAAAGAGGGATTGAGGAAATTGTAAGTTCACACACTCTTTCCAAAACAATGGAGGGTTTTAAATCCTATGATTTTCTTTAGGTAATAAATGAATTATATATTTGTTTCTGCTTTTTGAATTTTGCAGGAAGAGCATCGTGTTATAGAAGCAAAAATTAGAATGAGGCAGCAGGAACTTCAGGATGAAGAAGAGAGAATGCAGAAAAGACAAGAATTGAGTTCTTCAAGGACAACTGTTGCACTGAGGGAAGTTCAATACGATTCAGTTGAAGGTATCAATCTATTGGGATATTTTATCCTATAGATTGACTCTTCATTTCCTTTGACATTGTTCTATCTTCAAGTTTATCCTATATGTTTTCTTTGTTATTTGAAGCTCAATCCTCTGTTGAGGAGGAAATAGTTTCTTCTCAGGAATTGCAGGTCTCCTCGGTGATTCAACAACCATCACTTACTAGGACAAACAGGTAGGAAGCGTTTAATTAGCTTGTCATCCTCTATATCATTTACAGTTCATGATCATAAGTTAGGAGAAAGAGATGTGCATAGGCTAGTTGTTAGTCCATATTGGTGTAATGGTGTTGATTTTTCTATTCAAATCTTGGAGCTCATTTCATAATATTGGTCTTAGTATTTTCATTTCAAGTTGGCACCGTGAGAATAAAAAGTATGTTTATGATATTTTTGTCAGAAGTGTTTCGTTCAGATGGTTCTCCATCCTCAGCAGTCACTGATATTCGATCTTGATTTCAAGATAGGATGGTAGGACTGACGAGTGGATTTGAAGATGAATTTTTGTTGAAAGTTGTGTTGCAATGACTGTCAGTAGTTACCAGTTCAGCATCAGAGTTGTTTGTTGTTTAGCTCATGGTTGAGGACAAATGTCAAATGACTAATGGTTAGCCATTCACAGGTATTTTCGAGATCAAATTATTTCATTAAATGCGTGGCACACAAGATGAGATTTTGGATGAGTATGTTACTGTACGTATAGGTTTGAGGGTTACAATCATTGGGGACAGAAATAGTGAACCAGATTAAACATGATTTCAATATGTAAGGGGAAACCTACAATTTCTTTAATGAAAAAATGTGAGTTAAAGGAAGATATACTGTTATAGTAAGTTCGACGAAGATATGGATGAAAACTATAAAGAAGTTTTAATTTTACTATGATTACTGAGGATCTATCATAATTACATGCATCATTTTTTGTTGAACCTTTTCCTTTTGTGGAGAAAAGCTGCTTATCAACCTTAGATGGCTGGTACAAAGAGCTAAGCATGGTGCAGAGTATGATGTAGTCCTTAGTTGGTTACAAAAAGTTCCGTTATATGTAAAACTAACTATAGTGCATAGCCGTGGACCTACTTTTCTTTTTGGATGAGAAAGAATGGAGCCTGGGCTGCAGATGCATGAAGCGCTTCCATTGGTGTAGGAAAATGATGCCAACCATTTGTATTTTGTTAATTACAATCCTGTTTTATGTGAAAGAGTTATGCCATAGAGAGGATATCATGTTGGGTGCATTTTAATTGCGATGAACTTTCTATTTTTTATGTTTTCGAATGAAAAGTTGAGATGATATTTTCTTTTCCACTGCACAGGTACACAAGGTTGTAAACTGTTGATCTTATGTTCAGAAATGATCAGATTGAATTATGTTTCACTATCTTGTGTCAAATGCTTGAATTGCAGGGATGCTGAGTTTGACGTAGATCTTGAGGAAATAATGGTCATTGAAGCAATTTGGCAGTCAATTCTGGTATGAAACTGATCGTAGAATTTGAGAATTTCACTGCTGTAAGAAAACTCTTTCTGTCAATTATACCAAAGTTTGGTCAATGTTGGTATTCTTTTTCGTTGAAGGTTTCCTTTTACAGTTCAAGCTATGTTACTTGGACTTGAGTGTGCGTGTCTGATACATATGTGCCTGACATGAGTATGTTAAAGTTTTCTAAGTTTTTTCATGTATTTGGAGGATCCTTGAGGTCATATCCTCATATCTATGTGTTGGAAACGAGTGTCAGATGCATATACTTCAATAAAAATGAATAGTCAGAGCAACATATTGAAGATAGAAGAGGCTTTCCGATATTTGCTTCTTGTTGTTTATGTAGTCTCCATTTTACATGATATATTACACAAACTTTTATTGATTTTGTTTTTGTAAATTTGGTCCGTTTGACTGTCGATATTTTGATTGATTAAGGATAACAACACCAGAGATCGCTATATCCCACCAGTCATGGCCACAGTGGCCAGTTCATCATCGGAATCAGCATCTCCTTCTGGTGGTTTTGCCCCTGCAATAGCTGCCCTTGCTGAGCGTCAGCAGATGGGTGCAGAATCTTCTCTCGACCAGAACGGAAATATGCCATCATTCAATATGCTTCACGGAAGCGGCAGATTCTATAATAGGTTGGACCAAGTTGCTGAGAATTGTCCTCCTGCAGAGACACCAATTGACATGCCAACTGATAATCGGATGACACCTGGAAGAGATGAGGGGGAATGGGGAGTTGATCATGGATCGGAGGTGGCTGAAGCAGGGGCTAGTTACGCAAGCTCTGATGTTACAGATGATGTTGGTGGGATCTCAGGAGTTCCATGGCAATAGTTTCATGGCCAAGCTACCAGTGGTCATCTTTCTTGAACAGATGATGCTGTCAGTGGCTGTTACGGGCCGAGTTTCGAGCTGCAACAAAGTGCACGAGTAGCTCCGATGCAACTGATTTAGAAGGTCAAGGTAGTTATGATCCATTTTGCTTCCTGACACTACTATAATTGCATATATACATATTGAAAAGGTAAACAGGTTATTCTACCAAATCAGAAGTCGCTTGTTTTCACCTATTCATACCTATTCATAATGTTTTGAATCTCCTATTTTTTCCTTCCATTGCATGTCTCAAATGAAAACAAGCTTCATTTAGCTTAGGCAACCATTTGGTTTTCAACAAGTTTGGGATTCGAATTTCAGTATCTGTAACCCTTTTATTTTAAAGTTGCGTCTTCTTTTGTACACAATTAAAGGGGGAAATGGTTTCCAAATGTTATCTCGTATGTAGCCTCCGCTCGATCGAATTTGGATGACAAACATATATACTTTTTTCTTTAGTAGCATTATTTAGCTTTTGTGAAGGTGAGATCTTGAACCATGTATTTAGTTCAATTTGGTTAGGCAAGCATCCTTAAGAGAGAGCACTTAACTGGCTTGAGATTCAAATTTTAATATTTGCAACATCTCGTATCCTTGGGAATTTAAAGACCCACACTTCTCTGCGTGGCCCATCGACTTGGAGGAATGATGTAAAAGAAGGCCGTTGTATTTATATAAAAGTGGGCCATAAAATGGGCTTGGATTAATAGGACAGTAACGTGGTAAATGACGTGGGAATTGATATATCCATTAAAAGGTACGGATCAAATTGAAATATTTACTAAAACTCAAGGGCCATTCTTGCTATTATCCCCTGTTTAACAGGTGTTAATGAATAACCGACTTGTTTTTCAGATTTATTCACTTTCCCACATGCAAAGGACTGAAATCTTATACATTCTTTAATAGCCTTTCTATTATACGAATCAATTGATCATAAAGGAAAGATTTATTATTAGGGAAAATAAAGAAAAGGAAATTTATTAGTTATTTTATTTATTATTTGATCTACAGGTTACAAGTTGTACGTTAATATATATATATACACACATAAATCTTCCTTTATGTTTGTATATATCTGTTGATGAGAAATTTTTTTCGTTAATAGTTGATAACTATCATTTTTTATTTGAGTGAAAAATTATAGTCAATGATTTTAATGTGGGAAGATCGTCAATGTAAATGAGGAAGAAGGGGAGAAAATGTCACTATTTTCTTTATGATCGAGGGAGATTTATAGTGGTTCTTGTAATGATGTCTGGTACAAGGACTATCATGGCTACTTGTAGGTTGACAGGTTAGATAGATTTGATCATCAGATCTTAGATTTTGTCATAATGGATTGATTTGATATGTTATAAGTCTTATCTAAAGGTCTTGTTCACCTATTTTAGTTTATATGATAATATAGGTATTGTATTTTAATTATCGTTTTATGTATTTAGTCATGAAAGAATTTCAAATAATAAAATTAGTATATCTTAACATTAATTCACTCATTTAATTTCGTAAACTAATAATATAATACATAAACCATATAATGAAACAAAAATTAAAAAAACACAATAATTTCCAAATGAAAACATATGATTTTGCTTAAAACCAAGCATCCATTTGTGGCTTGTTTACACATAAAGGCAGTTGGCATAACCTGCACAAATACAAAATCAGCTTTAGCTTTTAGTACATGTACGTGGTAACTCGATATTTGAACAAATTTAAAAAGATTAGTACTAAGCCCAAGAGGCATTAAAAGGATTACTTACTTGGATCAGTTGAGACAATGAGAGCAGAGCCCTGGAAATAGCAGTTCCAAGCGTTTCTCCCTTTGGATTGATAGTAAAGGTTCATGGCAACGGAAGCATGGTTGATGAGATTATTGGGATAGAAACAAGGCCAACCCTACTGTATAATCTGGCAATCCACTTGAGAACATGCATAGTTTATGTTTGCCAAAAGAGTTGATTGCTCTGACGATGGCTTCGCTGTGCTCCATGGTTTCTGTTTCTCGATGAGCAAAACAAGTTTGTTAAATCATGAGTTTTTTCAATGGCTTAATTAACAAGTAATTTACCTGTCCATTAACCATCATCACAGTGGTTCCTGTAAAAGTGTTGATGTAGTTAGAATCATGACCATAGTTCAAATTAACAGAAGCTGTAATTTTGTCACCTAGGAGAGGATACCTGAAATGAGAAAGAGAAACAAAGAGAGATGTGCTGCAACTTTAGCCATGGGAAGCTGAAATTTAGCCTCTGTGAGCAAAGGGGAGAAGCACTGAAGCTTTCCAAGGGACTGAAAAGTTTAACGAGGAATTGTTGGGGTGGGTTTCGATGCACTTTTTCTCAGCAAATGAGGGCCTTGAATTTAGCAGCTAGATCCTGACCTGGTTCTACCACCCTTTTTTTGGCATCGGATCTGGCGTTCCACACTTTAGATTAAACCAATGCGTCTTGCATTGGATTATATAACCATGAAAAATCCCATACGATGGCAACTTGAGTTACTTTGGTTTGTTACTAATTGCCAACTTTCAACTCTGCAAGCCTCCATGCATACAAAGGCATGATTTGTGCGAATCTCCAGGAATACGAATGTAATATCTATGCAAACTTTCCAATATGTGGAGCGTATTTCGCAAATTATCAACAACGATCCCGTGTCAATTACTAGGTGGAGCCACAGTTTGTGCCCACCTGAAATCTTAATTTTCTTCGATTAGTTATTTATCTTATTGATAGTGTCCACCTTGGAATTTGATTTGTACTCAACCTAATCAAAAACTGTGTTGTTGACATATGTGTGTCTACTCTAAAAAAATATTTCTAGATCCGCCGCTGTAATAATCAATTACCCCGTGAGTACACCCCGCGTATAATCATCAACGACCACGTGTTGATGCACGTAATCTCTTAGTCTAAACATCACTTCCTAAGAAGTCCAATCAATATTAATTCCACAACAACTCCTAATTAACACCTGTCTAGAACATGACATATAGCCATGCCATAGAGATTAGGGTGAGGGACGCATTTCCTTACCACAAAATCATACCAACACCATCAGGACTATCGGAACTATCATTCCACCACCTTCTATCAATGACAGATTCATTGACTGAAATTAATTTTTTTTTTTAGTTATTTATTTTACTGATGGTGTTTATCCTAAAATTTTATTTGTTAATTACCTATTTTATTGATAATGCCTATCCTGAAATTTAATTTATGCCCACCTATTAATAAATTTTGTGTTGTTAACATATATGTGTCTACACTCAAAAATATTTCTAAATCCACCGTTACCTTCTACAGTTATGGATCACTTTACCGATCAACATGAATTTATGCTTTTAAGGCATCAATTTGGTAAAAATTCCTATTTTCTGGAATTTGACGGTGTTGGAACTTGAAGCTTCAACACAAATGAGGAGATGGTTGTGTCCATGCCCAAAAATGTTGAACCACTAAAGCTGATGTTTGTGTCCAATTCAACCAAACTTAATACCAGTAAGAACCTACATCAAAAGCGCACTTCATGGCATAAACAACAACTGAATATTCCTTAAAAGCAGATATACAAAGAAGAAAGTCAGGAAGAATGGTACAACCATGATCATCCCCTTAACAGCTATAGAGACATATGCCAGCCGCACACCTTGATGATTCGAATATGCAGCCGTGGGAGATCGGTCGTTCTCATACCATCGATGACAGGATGCATGCATTGATGGGAAGTGGGTGGAGGAGATATCTTCAGTTAAGGACAATAAAGCGTGAGATAGATTGCAGTACGAAAGAGTTTTTAATAAAAAAAATGTAATCAATTGACAATGAATATATACCCATCTTTTTATATAGTTATTTGAACTTAAATTTTTAAAAAATATATTTTTTATCATTAAAATCATTTAGTGAATTTCTTCCATTATATTAAATCATTAAAAGATTGTTATAATTGATGTAACAAAGGAGGGGCTCATATTGAAAGGTGATGTACATGTTTATCTTAACATAACTTTTGAGCCACATCAATGATGGGTTGGCAGTAATTAGAAATAATCCCTCAAAACACTTTATTTCTTCATTTGCCCCAGAAACCCATGTCAAATTGGATCCTCTTCCTCATCATCATCTTTTCATTAAAATATTAATTAAACTTTTCTTTCCTATAATATATATAATCCTCATGACACCAAAACACAATCATCAAATCTATGAATTTTTTATCCTCTTTTCTCCTTATTTGACTTCTCTCCTCTCCCTTTTTCCCCTCTACTTTTCCCATCTCAAAACCTCAAGGTCTCTCCCTCCCTCTCTCTCTATATATATATGATATAGTTCATAAGTTAATTAACTTGAAATGGTTTGTGTTTTTAGATTTTGGGGTTGAGAAAGCTAAGGAATATTCAGCTATGGGTCATGATTACCAGCATGAAGTGAGATTTATTTTCTCTTTTTTCTTTTGTTTTGGAAAAAAAAAGAATGATTATTTTGGTTGTAAAAATGCAGTCATTCATGGGAGCAGTTGAAGATGATGGTAGTGTCCATATTTTGCAAGGGAAAGAACTGCATGAAGTTCACTCAGGACCAAACCCTATCAGCAATTCAATTCCACAACAGAGATTGGAAACAAAGTTGAGAAAATTATTACCATAGCTTCTTCTTCTTCTTCCTTTTTACTTTTTTTTTTTTAAATTACAAAAAATAGTTGCAAAAATGCTTTTTTATTGGGGAATTCTAGATTGCTTCTAGTTATCGGTGTGGTTGATTAAAGTAGTACTTCTATCTTGTCAAAGACCACTACTAATGATTTTGCTTGGAATAATGTCTAATGGTTAATGTATTTATTTATTTTAATATTGTATAAAAGTTAAATTCATATTTAGAGCTATTTTTATTATAATTTATTACATAACTTATATATTTTATTTTTAAATAATATTATTTTTTTTATTAATACGTTGTAGGTTTTGAATAATTTTAACCAATAATGGGAGGGTCGCAGCCTTTTAATTAAATTGTCAATTGACAAAACTCCTAGTCTGACAATTTAATGATATGAGAGTGACATCAATAATTGTAGTGAAACAATGCCTCTCTCAATTATTATTGGAAGGCACTTAGATTACAAAGATTGTGATTTTCATTGTCTTAAGAATCTTTGTTAAAATAATTACGTAGATCTAACATCATCCTCACTTCAATTATTTTCAACATATTATATTACCAAAACATACAAATATTGCACGACATACAAACATGGCACAATCTTGTTAAATTTTCTATTAATATACAAAAATATCCTCCAAAGTTCAGATTAACTATGAAACTCAAACTTTCGGTAATGATCCAATGTAACTATGCATTTAGGTTTCAAGCAAATTCAATGCCATGTCCCTAATATATAATTTATTTTTTTGGCATATAATCTCCAAAATATTTTTAATATTTTCTCTTACATTAAACGTAAGATTTTGCTTTTTCTTTCTTTATCTCGAAACATATATAATTAAACCATAAAAGTTAAGGTAAATTATGTTCCCTTTTATTTTCACGTGGTTCAGTTGATATTTAATTCCAGTGGATGAGTCTCTCGATAAAAACCTTTTACATACATAAAGTCTCAAAATTTAAAACATACTAAAGTGATACTAAATTACTTACCATTTGAATTAACTCAGTGATTTTACATAGCCTGATTCTGATTCAAAGACAACCAAATCCAAAAATAGTAGGGAGTTAACGAAGAAAGCTAAAGCGTGGAATAAGAAGGCGGTGAACTTTAAGAATATGCTTGAGCCACGAAATAAGGGCAATTTCAGATCAGTAAAGCCCATTAATTGCCATATAAAGCCTACGAAAAAGGAAAGTCCTTTGGGCCTGGCTCAAAATAAACGTCAAAACCCCCCACTGAACATTCCTCTTTTCCGCCAAACGTTCGTCTATTTGGGGTTTTTCATATTGAGCTTAAATATGAATTGTTAATGTCAAAATTTTACCAACAAAATAGTATGATTAGTGAAAACTCATATTTATCTAATTGAAATTAGAAATACGTGTGTGTATATATGCACGGATTAAGTGGATATACGATAAATAATTTATCTAATTATCTTAGGGGTTGTTTGTTTACTTCAGAATAATTAAGCGTTGAAAGATTCAAATGTTGAATGATTCAGAAGCTCTGTATGAATTAGCTCTGAGTGTGACATGTTGTTTGATAATGGCTCTGAATCATTCATAATGTACTTTGATGCTGAATCATTCGTCAATGTTTTGCTTAATCAGTCAGCACTGAATCATTCAGAGGTGCGAAACAAACGCGCTGAATGCTGAACGGTTCAACATTCAGCGCTGAATGGTTTCATTCAGAGCCAAACAAATAACCCCTTAATTTCTCTATCTTTTTTTTCATATGTCTTAGTCTTTTTTCTCTTTATTTTTATTATCAACAGCGGCATCAATATTAGTGTTAATCGTCAATCGTCGGTATTTATTATTTATCCTGCCTTTATTTTTTTATTTTTAATAACTTCTCTTTTATGGCACACTTTTTTTTGATGTGTTTTTTTTCGTTTGACTGTGTTATTTTCATTTATCTTTTTTTAGTTGATTTGACATTATCATGACTGATCAAGATGATACTTATTTGTTATTAAGCTGACATTTCCTGCTTTGGATCTTAGATTAAATTTTGAGACACGATTTGTAACATCCCAAACTACGAGTTAGTAACTAAATTGTAAAATTTCAGAATATGGTGATTAAAGTAGAATATTTGAATAGTTCAATGATTTATTTGGAAATAAATCTTAAAAGTTGTTAGTAATTATTAAATGAATTAAAGGGCAAAATGATCATTAGACTTGTAAATGAATAAAATAATGATATACATGGGGATAAGGTTGAGAGATTTCTCCAAAAATCTCTTCACTCTTCATTTTTCATTATTCTTATTCTCCAACGTGAAACACTCAAAGCAAATGTGAGTTTTCTGATTTATTGATTATTTGTTGAATTAAGGGTTGGGTTTTGATCATTAGATGATAACTAAGCTTAAGGAAAACTTAAGTTATCTTAAAATCAAAAGATAAAGGAGTTATGACAGATTAAAGAAAATGGATTTTTAAGTGAAATTTTGAATAAGAAGGTTTAAATGAATTTGGAGGATGAATTTGACTTGTCATCTATGAGAATAAGAAGTTAGAAGTGTTAGAATTAAGTTTGGATAACATGAAAAATTTAGTAAGATTCTTGGTTTTAAGAATTTGGATGAAATATGGAAGATTGTAAAGTGTTGGAATGATAGAAATTGGTTAAGGTTGTTATAGATGAATTTAGTAGTATAATAAGGATTTTATACATCAAAATTCGGGTGAAGTGTTAATGATTTTCGGATGAAATAACCTATTCTGGGTATGTGCATCGATACACTATGAATATGTACCGGTGCACTAAGACAAATTTTGAATGTGCATCGATGCTTTAAGGGGTGCATCGATGTATGAATATTTCGAAGTTATTTTGGGTACCGATGCACCCATAGTGCATCGGTACACTCCTAAAAGAAAAGCTGAAATTTGGTTTATTAAATTAGTCTGAGTTATTAACATCAAGTTATAAGATTTAGGCTTCTGATAATCATCTCGGAAATTATGTTTATGTAGATATTGAACCTAAACAAGTTTCAGAACAATCAAATAATTATGATCGAATCAAAGCAATGCTAAGGTGAGTACAATTTAATTTGTACTTATGTATTCAATAAACAATGGCTTGCGATGAGCCAATGATGGAGTTACTATGGTAAGAAGTAACTCCTAAAATAATATTTGATTAATGATCGATGTGATGAATTGTATGATTATGGGATATGTGTTATAAGACAACATGTATGTATTATATGTTATGTGACACTGAACTACATGAATATAGGAATATGAAATAAGCTATGTGATATGGACATAGAAAATGAAATAAATAAGTGGTAATGAGATATATGTTTACACATACGTGATGTGTGACAGAAGAGAAGGAACATGTGATTATAAGATCAATGATTACACGTACATGTGATACGTGACTGAAAAGAAAAGAGATGTGTTTATAAGATAAAGGATATAAATAAGTAATGTGAACTGATATAAATGATAATGCCCATGTTATGTGATATGATAGCTAGGGGTATAGTTGGCATGCCAAGGGTCGAGGGTTTACCTATGTTCTTCGGGACATATGGAATGTTTACCTATGTTCTTCGAGACATATGGACTGATTACCTAAGTTATTCGGAATCTATGGACTGGTCCTTCGGGACATTTATATGAGTTGTGGTGATAACATAATTGTGCACAACCTCAATGTACTCACATACCTTAAGTTCTCAAAAGTATACATGAGCTAATACATGGTCTTTAAAGAGAGTAAATAAATCAATTGATATGGTACTATGCATGCTCGGTTGTGAAATGGTATATTTGTTCCATGGTAAGTATAGAAATGTTCAGTATATACTTATATGGTAAAGAGGTATTAAAAGTGTTTGCATTATCATATGTTATTATGTATATTGAATCATAGGTGATATGTTTGAATTCATAGATTGCATGTTTATATTTATGAGAAATGCATCATTATTATTACGCCTCACTAAGTCTATGACTTAGCGTGTAAGTGTTTTACACATAGGTACCGAACAACAGAGAGATCTATTATAAGCTCAGCAGAACAACATAACTCCACTTAAAGGTCAGATCAGAAGTAGATTAAATAGTATGTATTGTTATGGGTTAAATAGGTCGACATGTAAACAAAGTCGACAAATTAAGTATTTATGCTCTGATCGAGTTTTGTAACGTTTTAAATGTATTTATGTAAATGTAAATGCATAGTAATAAACAGTTAACTTTTTACGAGTTTTATGTACATTTTACGAAAATCGATGCACAATTTGTATTTGAAATTTTTGTGCATCGGTGCACTGTAGCAATGCATCGACGCACTGTAGCAATGCATCGATGCACTGTAACAATGTTCATGGTATTGTTCATTAATATTCACGAAACCGTTCATACCGTATAATATTGTTCATAAATACGTTTTTACCTTAAATTTTTATAATGAAACATAATTTAATTGTATATTATTGTATTTTCTTAATATGAGTTCAAAAGTTTTGATATATTATAATAATACTATTTTAAAAAGTCAATGTGACATCTCAGACTCGTATCCGGGTCGGGTACGAGTTGGGGTGTTCACGTCGCTTAATTCATTGTAATTTGTCACTGATCTTTAATAGTTTAACTCTTTTATGATTTTTTACTGATGTTATCAGATAGATTCGTGTAATCTTAAATAACAAACTTTTTATGTCATAATAATGTAAAAGTATCGTGATTATATGTTTAATTTACTATTATGATAATATTTTTTTATTTAATTATTTTTATTTTTTAATAAAATTACCTCCTTTTAAAAAAATGGACAGAAGACAAAAAGAAAGGAAGTCGTGTTTGAAATCAGATATTTTTTTATTCCTTTGTGTTTGAAATCAGACATCTGTTTTCGGTAAGGGAGTGGCACTCTCAAATTAGGAGATTTAAGGCGGGATTCAGGATTTAATAATTGGGGGGAAATGGCGTCGAGAGAAGAAGAGACTTTGAAGAAAGAGGAGGAAACGGGGATTGCACCGAACGGTGAAGACGACGAGGAGCATGATTCGAAGGAAAGGGTTCTACAAAGATACTTTCTCCAA